TGATTCTTGTCCCCCGATACACCCTGGCTGTGGGACCATGAGTAGGTGGTGTAACCTCATCACACCTCCAAGCAATTCTCTAAGACTACAGGTTACACATGAGCTGCTGACCTGTATTGATGGAGGGTTGCCACACTGGGAGTTAGTTCTTCCAAAGAAATGAAATGCTGGTACTGACCAAAAAAAATTGAAATGACAGGAGTCTGAAAGTAGAATGGGCCACTATAGGTGGTAATCGTCTCCCCTTCACTGAAGGATGGTCAGCAAAAACTAGATGGCCACCTGTTGGGATGATCTAGAGGGGATTCATCCTCAAGTATGAATTGGACTAGAAGGCCCACTGAGGATCCCTTCCCTTTCTGAGATTCTTTGATGCCTTGAGGGGAACTTGCCTTTTCTCTAACTCATAGAGCAACCTTGAGGAAGACTCTTCCCCTCCAAGAAAGCGACTCCTCCTCTATATGATGAGGTTCTCCATCTTGACGGTCCATCTCTGAGGTCTATTCTAGCTCTGACAGAAAATTCTGGGCTTCTCCTAGTCAGTTTGGATCGTTCCCCTGTGATTATTCCTCTTCAAAGTATGGGTGATGCCAATGCTGCCTTTCTACCCCTTTGCCATGAAAGCTACAGTGAGCTAGAACAGCTCACCCTGCTTCCAGCTGGGTGCTTTGGATCAGGAGGAGCAGAGCCCAAAGGCAGGTCCCTTGTGTGGAAGCCCTTGCTGATTCACATACCCTGTAAATGATTGTGGCGTGAAAAGCTAGGTTGAATGGAGTCAAGTCAAAACATTTGTTTTCCATTAGGCTGCACAGCTTTGATACAAACGGTGAAGTATGTGTTTACATTGCCATGGACATGGAAAGCTAGGCCCTGCAAACACTCCTTGGAGGTTGCATAAACCTGAGCATCTAAACATTTCCAAAACAGTGTTGTAAGCCCAGCTTAATGGCTTTGAAATGGAACCTAAATTCCACATAGTTTAAAAAAACGCCAAGCCATAGCTGAGTAGATGGACTCAAACTAAGTCCTTAAAACATGTTTGCAAACCTATTCGATTGTTTATCTTGTTTTATCTTCATTATTTTTAAGCAAGACATTTTAATTCAAGAAGGCAGCTGAACAGCAAAATCAAAACAACCCTCCCACCCGCCTCTGCCAAAAAAAAAAAAAAAAACCTACCTCTAATGGATCTTAGCTTTAGTATTAGAAAGGCCCTTAGAGGTTGTCGATTCCATCCCCTCTAACATTACAGACGAGGAAACTGAGGTCAAGAAGAGAGGGAAAGATACTTGCCTAAGTGCCAAATAGAAATCAGCAGAACATGTGCTCAGATCCAGGTTCTCTGACTCCCAATCCAGTTCTCCTCCGCCACCAGGTCATCACTGGTGGCTCAGAAAAGGCCTGGGTAGACTTGAGACAGAGGGGCTGGTCGTTCCAGATGGGGAGGACAAAGGGAACCAAGTCCTAGATGCTGGAAGGAGAATGGGAGGTTCAATGAGCAGACCAGCTGGCTGCAATAGCAGGCACACTGTGGTGGATGGGGAGAAGTAAATTTGGGAGGGTAGACCAAAGTCAGGTAAAGGATTTTGGGAGGAGTAAGAAGCCACTGGCAGTTTCAAAGCAAGGGAGTAATATGAAAGTTGTGTGTCAGACGGAAGAATTTGAGGGGAATATGCAGGACAGATTTGAGGAATAGAAACTGGACTTGTGGAGATGGGCTAGCAGTCTCTTGCAGTGCCTCATGTGTGCAGGGAAATGGCATAAGGCGTTGTTGATTAGGACCTTCCCTAGAACCACACACATAATACTGTAGTGCATGTATTGTATCTCTGTTGCTATCTTATCTCCCAACTAGGCTGGGATTTCCCTAGGAGCTGGGCTAGGTTGTATCTAATCTGTTTCCCCAATTGCTAATATACAGTGCTCTGTACACAGCAGGTGACTAATACATGTCTGTTTAATTGAATTATTATGTGTCCTATCCTCTCAACTAGGGAGGCAGAAAGACATAATGAAAAGAGTGAAATTAGCTGTGTGACCCTAGGCAACTCATTTCATTTCTCTCAGCCCCAGTTTCTTCAGCTGTAAAATGGGGATAATAATAATACCTTTGTCACAGGGTGGTGGTGAGGTTCAAATGAGGTGACAATATGTAAAGTGCTTTGCAAACCTGAAAACGTTTTAGGATTGTAATGGTATCATTGTTGTTGTCATTATTATCACATTGTGGGATGGATTGTAGCTTGTGATTGCATCAGCGTTGGTTGGTCCTAATGTGGTAACTTCCTCATCCTGCTGTCAAGGACAGGTTCAATGATGTGCCTAGGACCACACAGCTAGTATGTGGCAAGAGGCAGGATTTGAACCCAGGTCCTCTTGATCCCAAGTCTAGCCTGCTGCCTGACTGTGAGATTGTGATAATAACTCACACTTCTATATTCTTTCAAGGTTTAAAAAGCCCTTTTATCATAAAAATTCCATGAGGTTGGAGGGATTTTCTTATCTTTATTTTCCAGATAAGGAAACAGAGTCAGAGAAGGAAAGAGGCTTGACTTGGCACTTCCTTAAGCTCATGTCTTCCAGCCTTTTTACTACACCAAGGACTGGTATCCTGCCTGCCAGTGCTAGGCACACTGTTGGGAGGTACTGGTTGACTGCCTGACGACCCCTCAACATTATTCACAGGGATGTCCTTAATGACATCCTTTAAGGGGAGAAAAAAGATGAAGGGAAACGGTCATAGGATGGTGGTCCTCAAACTTCCTAATTGGAGGACTCTGCTAGTGGACCACTTGTGGCTCACATGGCCCCACCTGTTTCCATTATAAAAGCAAAACCATCCCCAGGCCCAAGGCCCTGTGCATCATCTCCCAGTGACTTGAGCCTTGTCCATTTCATATTACAGTGAGGAAGGAAAGGAATTTAGAAACATAAAGAACTTGGCCATCTGGGAAACCTTTCTTAAAACTATCCTGGAAGACCCAGGACAGTAAAAAATAGCCCTAGGTATTAGCCTGGCCCCACCAGAAGGCTTCAGCTCTCTTTTCAGAATTATTTCACAATTTCACACATTCTCTCTTCCAGCCAAACTGTTTCCCATACATAGTAGTCCATCTCCCACTTCTGTGCCTTCGTATAGCCTATCTCCCACATCTGGAATGCCCTCCTTCCTTCCACTCTTATCTCCTGGAATCTCTAGCTCTGTTTGAATCACCTCCTATAAGAGATCTTTCCTGATTTCCCCAGTTGTTAATGCTCTTTCCTGGCCCCCCCCCCCATTACTTTGTATACATTTTACATTACCTGTGTACAGGTGGTTTCCTTCAAGTCAAATGTAAGCTTTTTGAGGGCAAAGACTGCTTTGTTTTTGTCTTTGGGGCCTTAGCATCTAGCATAGGGCCTGGCATAATCAATGCTTGTCCAATTGAATCAGAAGTGAATTGAATTCATTCCCAAATTAATCTCTTTACCTAAGATTCCTGCTTTGACTCCTTCCATGGAGAAGCAGCCATCCCTGTGCAAGAATTAAAGACATGATGGCACTCTGCACCATTTTTGCTAGTCAGCTAAGGCAAATTCTCAATGTCCTGGTCAGAGAAGTGATCTACACGTGTTCAAACGAACATGAAGTCTCTGAGTGCGCTCATTTGTTAACTCAGCAAACACTGTGTGAGCATAGTGCCACGGACAAGATAACTGGGCAAGGAAAACAGAGGAGAGACTGGAAATTGTACCATTTCATGTGCGTATGAATATACATGAAAATGAATGTATAAAGCAGAGGATAATCCAACCAGCCTCTGCCCTGGTCAGACTACACCTAGATTATTGTATTCTGTTCAGGGACCATGACTTAGGAAAGATACTGCCAAGCTAGAGAATTCTCAGAAGAATGCAAAAAGAATGATGAGAGGACAGAACACCAGGTCATACAAGGATCTGTTGAAGGAACTGGTTAACCTAGAGAAAAGAAGACTTGGGGGTATCAATCTGATCTCTGATCATGATTATCTTTGTGACCCCCTGGAGCAAGTCACTTGGCCTCCTTAGCTCAGTTTCCTCAGGTGCAAAATGAGAGGATTAGATTAAATGGCCTCTGAGATTTCTTCCAGCTCTGGCTCTATGATCCTATGATAAGTGCCTTCATGTAACTAAAGAGCAGTCATGTGTAAGATGGATTTGACTTTGTATGCTTGGCCCCAAAGGATAGAAGTAGGGGTAAAAGGATAGAAGTTACAGAGAAGTAAATCTGTGCTTGATGTAAAAACTTCCTGTTATCAGAACTGTCCCAAACAAAGGCTGGATGACCTCCTTTTAGTTATGTTATATAGAAGCTTCTTAAAGTATACATTATTGATAGATTTGGGTTTTCCATCATCTTCATTTGCCAATAAATTCATCCCCTGCCTCTCCTAGGGAACCATCCCTTATTATAAAAAAGAAGAAAAAAATTGTTTGGCAAAGTTAACTAGCATACCAAGTTCAACATTATATGCAGTATCCTATGTCCAAACACTTCCAACCTCTACAAGCTTGTTCATTATCATTTCACAGCCTTTAGTTTGGATTTTTTGCTGCTTTTTGTTGTTGTTTGCACTGACATCGTTGCAGTCATTCCCACTGTTTTCCTGGTTCTGCTTACTTCATGGTGCGTTGGTTCATCTAAGTCTTCTCATGCTTCTCTAGATTCTTAAGATTTGTCATTTCTATAGTGCAGTGATATTCCATTACATTAATGTACAAAAATTTATTTAGATATTTCCCAGTCCTTGGGCATCTACTTTGTTCTCTGTTCTTTAGTACTATAAAAATGGGTAACACAGATATTTTATGTATAAGGGAGGGACTTTCTTTTTCTACTTTACTTCCTTGGGGAATCTGCCTAGCAGTGAGATCTCTGGGTGTAAAGAGTTTTCTTTCTCAGGCATGGGTTAGACTATGTAGTCTCTGAGGTGCCTTCCAACTCTGAAATTCAATGCTTTTATGTAATTTTCTTTCAGATCCTAAAAAGCATGGCAATATTGAGACGGGCCTCAGATAAGAATCGTGAGGAAGAAGTTGAAAGTGGCGACTGTGATGATGAAGATGACTGTGGCCGAGGCTCTGGTGATGAAGGATTAAGAATGAAGAATCAGCTCCGCTTCTTAGCAGGTAAGCACCAAAAATTCTTTTGCTTAAATTCTGTACCAAGAACTATTGAATGGAGCTCTTTCTACCACCACCTCACTCCATTCTCAGCCCCAAACACACAAGGCTATTGGTGCCTTAATGAAAGAATACTGGAACCAATGGACAGAAAAGGGAAACTTCCAGGTTAAGTCTATTCTACTTCCCCATCCTCCCCCCCCCCACTATGTTTTGAATTTACAGATTCCAAATGTAGCTTTTCTTGTCCTTTTTTCCCTTTCACCAACAAAAGTGGCCTTGATGAATTAACTGTCTCTCCTCAACAATGTACTTGGATAGTTCTTGTATTAAAGGGAGAGAAAGCCACAAGAACATGAGGACAGCCCAATTTTAAGATAGGTTGAGGAGCTACAGCCAGTAAGCCAAGAAGTTGATGATGCCTGCATTTGTTGATTAGAAGTCTTATTTTTAGATATCTTTCACTATGATCTTGACAAATACCAATAATCAAATAGATGAACTTCATCAATACTTCAAGGAACAGCTGTTTCCTTGGCATGGGTCCTCCTTCCCCTGACACAGATCAGATCGTTGACTTTTATGACTAATTGTGATGGAAAAATAATTCATTACCTCATGACAAATTTTCCAGTGATGAAACTAATGTTTTAGGGGCTTCCACCCCCCTCCCAGTGCTTTGCAACTCAAGGTCTGCCTCCCCTTCATCCTCAACTTAATTTATTTGATTTGAATACTTCTTTAAAGCTGGTTGTCTCAACTGTCCAAATTGCTAGCTGTGGCACTAGCTATGTTTTTATGTTATAATATTTCTTTATATTAATAGATCATAATTTATTCAGCCATTCTCTGATTATTGGAAATAGAGGATATTGCCAGTGTTTCGCTCTGATATAGCAGCAGTGAATAATTTTGTAAAAAATGCATTCTTTTTTTTCCTCTTTATTATGTTTTGGGGATAAGTAGCAATTAAATTACTGGCTTAAAAGGTATGAGAAATTCAGTAATCTTTATTGCTCTCTAAAATGTTTGCATTTGTTTATGGTCCCACCAACAACATATTAGAGAGATTGTTTCCTGACGGCCATGGCATCACTGGACTCTCCTCCCCATTTTCCCCATTCTATTGAGTGAAAATAGTATCTTTAGGTTGGCTTGATAGTTATTTCTCCAATAATAAGAGCTATTTTTAATAATATAGTTGTTAGCATTTTGTATTTCTTTTGTAAATTATCTGTTCACATCCTTTAAGCACTGCTCCATTAGAGACCATGGATTTTTAAACTTATAGATTATGTATCAGTTTCTATATAGATTCTGGATGTCAGATCTGTATCCATCAGATTTATTTCAAATATTTTTCCCAGTTTTTTTCTTTGCTTTTAATTTTAAGGAGATTGCTTTTTATCATGTGAAATCCTCTTAGTCTTTACATAATCAAAACCATGATTTTGTCTTAAATGATTTCTTTGTAAAAAATGTTTCCTTTTTTATTAGAATCTAACAATAATCATGAATAATACAAGAACATTTCAGTATATGGGAAACAAATAGGGGACTGTACAAACTTCTGCTATATTTTGAGAGCATATATTAGATTTAACACAATAGTAACACAACTGCCATGTTTGTGTCCCCTTTTGAACTTTATTTTTCTTTGTACTTTAATTTTTTATTGATGCTGTTTACTTGCAATGGTTACTTCACTACCCCTTTAGCACATCCCCATCCCTGTGTCCCTCCAAATACCAGTCCTCCCTTAACAAACCAGTGTAGTCAATCAAAATCATTCAGCACATGGAAGTGGGGGAGGGCAGACTTCCTCCTCAACTTTCTGATGTCATTCCTTGTTCTGCTCAGCTCTCTCTGCTTTTTTTCATACAAATTTGCTAAGATTTCTTTGACATGACACAATACTATCCTTTTATATTCAGAGACCACAACTGGTTCTATCATTCTCTAGCCAAAGATCTCTTTTACTGGTTTGATCAATTTCATGTGATTCAGCAAGTATTTGGTATAGCAAATGATCTCTCACTGTAAGGAACTTGTATTCTACTGAGGGGAAACAACATGTACACATAGAACTAAACACAAAAGACCTAAGAAAATACAAAATAAAAAGAACCTTCCCCCCCACCCCATGGTTGAAACAAGCACATTGTTTCCTTTTTTCCAGGTTTTTCATGATTATATATGTATATAAATTTATACGTGTTGAGATCACTAATTCAGTGAGATTTATTGTGATATATAGTAGACAATATGGATCTAAAGCCACTGGGAGGTTGTTTGTTTTATTTGGGGGGGGGGAATTCAAGTTTTTTTTTTTCCTGTAGCTCTAATTAAATAGTGATTCTGTTCTTCACTGGTTTTTTAGTGTGGGCTTATCAAACACTAATCTTTTCTATTACCTGGATTCTATCTCTGAACTCCCCAGTCTGTTCTGCTTATCAATTTCTTGGACTTTTTTCCAGCCACAGACAGTTTTCTAATTACCTGCTAGTGCTAGGCTTCTTTTGCTGCTCTTCTTTGTCTTGGTTCTTAATATTCCTGTCTGGTATTTTCCCATATTAATTTTCTTGTGACTTTATCTAATTTTGTGAAATAATCTATTCACATGTTGATGGATACTACTGCTGAATTAAAGGAAAGCTAGTTTAGAAAGTATTGTCTTTTTTTTTACATTTGCCCAAACTAACCATGAGTGGAGGACATTGCTCCATTTGTTCGATTCTTTATTTCTGTCAAAATCATTCACATGTTGTCTTTGTCTATGTCTCTTTTTTGTCTTTACAAGTTAACATGCAAATGTTTGATATTTCTCTTTTGTGGTAAGGGAATAAGCATTCGTATAGTGCCTACTGTGTGCCAGGCACTAGGCTAAGTGATTTTTCCAAATATTATTTTATTTGATCTTCACAACAACCCTGTGAGGCAGGAATTATTATTATTCCCATTTTACAGATGAGGGAACTGAGGCAAACAGGTTATGTGACTTGCCCAGGGTCACACAGCTAGTAAGTGTATACGGCCAGATTTGAACTCAGGTCTTCCTGACTCCAGGCCCAGTGTTCTATCTACCATACCATCAGCTGCCTCAGATCAATTTATCTTGATTCTTGGTAGTGGTACATGGAAATTCAGAGACTTTTTGTGACTTTGTATTATGTCTTGTTACTTTACTAAAGTAACTTATTAACTCTATTTTTTTGTTGACTGTTTTGGGTTTTCTAGGTACACAATGATGTTGTCTACCCATAGAGTTATTTAACTTTTCAGGCTTTATTGCTATTACTGAGATTTTTAAAACTATATTAACTAGGAGGAGAGAGTACAGACATCACTGTTTAAAACCTGTTTTTAATGGGAATGCTTTGTGTTTCCCTACTGTAAACACTATTAGTTCATGGTTTCAGATATACATTTGGAAAAATCATAATATATTATAAATATTCAAATCTGCTATAAAGAACCTATGAAAAAAAGATGCTATCTACCTCCAGAGGAAAAAAACTGATAAATAAAAGTATGCTTAGTATAGTTTTACATATGTGTGTATATATATATATATATATATATATATATGTATCTGTATATATATGTATATATAATACACACACACACACACACACATATATATGTGTCAAATGGTGGCCTTCTCTAGTTTGGGGTGGGGAGGGAAGGAGATGCTTGGAACTTAAAATGTAATAAAAAATTAAATTAAAAATTAACATTATATTAGGAAAATTTTTTAAACATAAGACTAGAAGGATCTTTTCATATTATTATACTTAGAGTAGCTTAGTTGTTCAGCTGTTCTTCAAACAATATTGTTGTTACTATATCCAACATTCTTTTGATTCTGTTCATTTCACTCTTCATTGTTTCATGCATGTCTTTCCATGTATTTCTAAAATCAACCTGCTCATCATTTCTTATAACAATGTAAGCATTTAGAGAGAGAAATTTTCCTCTGATTACTGCTTTTGTTGCATCTTATAGGTTTTGGTATGTTGTCTCAGTATTATCATTCTCTTTAATAAAATTATTTGTTTCTATGACTTGTTCTTTGACCCACTCATTCTTTAAAATTATTAATTAATTCAATTAATTTTAATATGTGTTTCCATGGCCCTTTATTAAATGTAATTTTATTGCATTGTGACCAGAAAAGGATACATTTCATATATCTGCTTTTCTGCATTTAACTATAAAGTTTTTATGCCCTAATATATGGTCAATTTTTGTAAAGGTACTATGTACTACTGAGAAAAAAGTATATTCCTTTCTATTCTCATTCACTTCTCTCTGGATATCTAGCTTATCTGAGATTCTGTTCATCTCTTTGATATGTTCAACTTTTATAAGTTTAGTGAACATTCAGAAAGAAGATATAAACTTTGCTTGTTCCACCGAGTTCTTTCCATATTCCAATTTGTTGAATACCATGATTAGCTTTGTGATTTCTTTCTTATTTCTATTTTGGTTGAATTTATCATATAATGATAATGTGGTATTAAAATCTCCCACTGACTATTTCTTGCAACTATTTGTTATATTTTACCACAAAATTATTAGATGAATATGTGTGTGTGTATAAATTTAAGATTTATATACTCTCATTTTGCATAGAATCTTCCTGGCATAATATAGTATCCTTCTCTGTTTATTAATACTTTCTGTCCCAATATCTTTTATCTTCTTTTCCTGATTTATCAGTATCACAGCAAATTTACATCATCCTTTGATTTTAAATTGACTGGGATATATCTGAATTAAATGTTTTTCCTTTAAGCATAATACTATTGAATTCTGCTTTTAATCCATCCTACAATTCTTATATATTTTATGAACAATATTTAGTGTTATAAATTTTCATTTTTTTCCTTTAGTCATTCATAAGGGAATACACACTTTTAAATTCTTATTATTTCTAGTATTAATCAAAATTTAATGGAATCATTTTAAACCTAAACCTATTATATTCCTATGTAGTTTAGTTT